CTATTTCCAGGGAATTTCAGGGGGAAAAGTGTGCTGAGAGCACAGTGTTAAAGTGGGAAAGTCAAGCACTGGCAAGGCCAGAGCTGCCTGGAGAGCTGGCCTAATTAATCTGTTTATGTCTCTTATTTTTGCACAGTCCCCTGCTTGCTGTATTTTCTCCTTTTTTGCCAGAATTGGTCACCTTTGTGCTTTTCCATACATGTCCGACACCATGGAGATCCTGATGCCTGTTCCTAGCTGGATGCACCTCCCAAACCACCTCCTCGGAGGGAATGTGGAGGTGGAGATGCTGCTGTGGGGTTCTTGATGAGCCTTTTGTCACTAATGCAGATTTCTGACAGGGCTACTTGGTGCTGATCACACTAAATTTGGCAGCAGACCTCATTCAAAACCTCACTCCCAAGACACTGAGAGCTGCATCCCTGGGCATGGATCTGGACTGCCTGGAATGCCTTCATGGATTGGACTGGATGGTCTTTAAAAGTCTATTCCAGCCCAAATCATTCTATAATTTTAATTAAATATTCAGTGTTTGGTGGGTTGGACTGGAGGACCTTTAGAAGTTCCTTCCTGCCCAAATTATTGTGTAATTTTATGAAATATTCACTGTTTGGTGGGTTGGACTGGAGGATCTTTGAAGGTCCCTTCCAACCCGAACCATTCAATCGTTTCTATGAAATATTCAGTGTTTGAGCTCTCTGTGTGTCAGAAACACTGGTTTGGGATGAAGAGGACACTGGCCACACTCAGGGGAAGAGGGAGGGATCTGGAATTACAGAATCACTGAATTGGAAGGGACCCACAAGGATCATCGAGGTTCAACTCCCGTGCATTTTGGAAATGAGCTTTTCTCCTCCCCAGCTTTTTTTTTCCCCCCATTCTTGCTTTTCCTTGAGCTATTCTGAAAATAGCTGAAAAATTCTTCTGAAAATTCCACACGAGTGCTGAAAGAAGTTGTTCAAGTGGCAAAAACAGGTGTGGGAGGGAGGTGGGTGTGTGAAAAAAAAACCTTTTCGTCTTTATTTTCCCAACAAAATCTGAATATTTTTTGAAGAGTTAAGGAAAAAAAAACAGCTAAAAATATAAATAAATCCCTTTTGTCTGCAGATCCCTGGTGGGAGTTGGGCTGAAATGTTCCTGAGTGACTCATTCCTGGGCAGCCCTTTGCCTTTTTGGATGGAAACTTGTCCTCAGCAGATTTTCTGGTATTTTCTAACCTGCCTGTGAGGAGGTGTTTCCTTTGTGGACTGAGGTAAAGGAGGCGCCTGCTTCTCCTGTGAAATTCCCACATCTGCCATCAAAGGATGGCTGTTTCTCCTGGAAAATGGTGATAAAAGCTCCATCAGTGTTTTCCTTCCCTGCCTCAAACTTGTTCATGATGATGGCCCTGGAGAAAAAATTGTCTGAAACTATGCTTGATCCATGAGCTGGGAACCTGTGGCTGGATCCTGCTGGAGACACCAGGCTGATGGATTTGGGCTCTTCATCCTCCTGAGGTGTCCACAAGGATTTCCAAGGCCTTTCATGCCCCTGATGGAAATAAATGATAGGAAAAGAATGTGGGAAAAGCAGGGAATCCCATAATTTAATTGGGAGAATAATTTAAGGGATGTGTAGGACAATCACTGCCCTGTTTCCTTATCAGAGGGGCACCCTCAGGGCAAGGCTGAAAATCCTAACCAGAATTCCAACCATCAAAAGTGCTGTGACCCACACCCCTCTGGGCACAGCCAGTAGGGAACACTCCCTTTTTTAGGGCTATTTTTCCTTTAATTTTGTTAATCCTGATGGCTCTTTACTCAATTTTAGCCCTTTTCCCTCACTGTCAGGACAGATTTTCCCCTGTTTCCCTGGGAGCAGCGGGGTGACTGTTCAGCTCTGTCTCATGATGATGATGATGATGGGTGGGATTTTCTAGTCCCTGCCTTTCTGTGGTGTTGCAGTGGAATCTCCACTCCACACCCTCTGCTTTCTCCTGGTCAGGATGGAAGGAGCGAAGTGCTGGACACCTGATGGAAGGTCAGAACTCAGCTGGCTGATGATGATCAATGCTGTCTGTTTTCCCTCAGGACAGAGGCATTTAGGCCCATTTGCAGCAGGATTGACTTCCTGGACTCCAAGCAACCTTTCTGTTGTCATCTCTGTGCTTCCAGCCCCAGTCCTAATGACATCCTGGATGCTGGAATTCAGTTCTCCTCCCACCTCTCATTCCTGTTTTCTGCTGTTAAAGCACGCCTTCATGTCCACTTCAGGAACCACACCAATTCCCCAGAAAAACATCGGGCTCTGCTGAAAACAGGGAGATGAGGGATATTTTTTCCCTCCACCTCTTTCCCCACAGATGCATTTATCACTAGGGCAACCTCACTTGAGAGTTCACTACAAATCCAGGCCGATGGCTTAGATCCAGGCAGGAGAAGTTTTATGGACTGAGCTAAGCGTGAATTACACTTCTGGTCACGGCATTTTCTTTCTTTCTTTCTTTTCCTTCACTGTGACCCTGGCATTGATGCAGTTACAACTGCAAAGTATTCCATAATTCAGCTTTTTTCCTGCTGCTTGGAAGGTCTGGGAGGAACCTAGGTGGATTTAAAAGGTGTGGTGCCCCTCGAAAAGGGTGTGGGAGGAGGTGGTGGTGGTGGTGAGACTAACCACTGGTTTTAGGACCAGGTGTAAATTATTCTCCTTTTCAGGCAAGATGTCCATGCTTATCCAGGAATGAGAGGGAGGTGCGTTTTCTTCTCAGTCTGGCACTAAATGCAACCACTGGCTTCATTCCAGGGAGTAAAAGCAGTGGATTAACAGGAGTTCACCCCTGCCCCCTCTTCTCCCCTCAGCCATGATCAGGTGAGAGGGAAGGAGAAGGAAAGAGGAAAGGAGAAGGAAAGGGGAAAGGAAAGGAAAGGAAAGGAAAGGAAAGGAAAGGAAAGGAAAGGAAAGGAAAGGAAAGGAAAGGAAAGGAAAGGGGGAAGGAAAAGGGGAAAGGAAAGGGGGAAAGGAAAGGGGGAACTTGTTTTATTTGGAGGATGAGGAGCACAGTTGAGAGAGGATGGGGAGTTGGAGGATGTGTCTGCTCAGGAGGGGCAGTGGGAAATCTTAGTGAATGTGGAGGGGGTGGTTGAAGGATCCTCTGGAGCAGCAGGATTTATTTATGTATTTATTTATTTATTTATTGAATTTGAAGGGGTTTTTTTTAACATTACTTCAGGTTTAGGAGCTGGAGAACAGGTCTTGCCTAATGGGCGAGCCAGCATATGTGGCTGTGTTGGATAATTGACTATTTTTAGACGCTGGAAGTCACCTCCTGGAGGCTCCAGTTTCAGTGTGGATTGCCAACAGCCTGTGCCCTCAGCTTGGCACAGCTGGTAGGAGCTGTCAGGATATGCTGGACAAAAGGATTTCTCCAGACATGGAAAAAGCGTTTTCTAGGTCTTCACCGTAATGGTGAACAGTGTGCAAATTTCCACTTCCCCACTGCAGCCGCTTGGAGTGATATAAATTGGCAGAGTTTAGTGCATTTCCCTGTGGGATTTCTCCTAAACACCTATGGATTCCCAGAGCTGGAAGCTGAGGCTGCAGTCACTCCCTCTCACCACCACTGTACAAGAACTCGTCAGGACAACTTGGGATGGGCTGCTCTTCACCTGCATTTAAGGAAAAGTTTAAAAAAAAGAAAAAAAAATGAAAAAAAAAGATAATCAAAGCAAGAGCTGAAGGAACCTCCAACCATAAGCAACTCCAGCTTTGTCTGTCCTGTTTATCCATCCCTTTATTCCCCTCTAGGGCTCTGCTTTCCCACATGGATATACTGCTAATAAACAGTGCTGCATCCTCTGCTCCCCTTTCTCGCATTAAATGTATTCCCATTAAATGGGTAAGGGATGCAGCAGGGAATGGGATGTGTATGGCTGCTTCCCTGCCCAGAGTGGGGCACACAGAGCCTCTGGAAGCAGCTGTAAATTTGGGTTAGAAACCAAGCCAGGAATTGCCTGGGTGTGCCTCACTCAGTGGTATTAAGGGCTGCAGGCAGGGGGAAGGTGGCAGTGCTGGAGGATCTGAAATTCCCATCAATCTCATCCCCTCCTGATCCTCCAGCAGGCAAAGGGAACAGGTTTGATTTCCAGACTGTTCCTCTCTCCTGCGTGTTCCTCAAGCCCAAAGTACAACAGGCACAGGAAACCGTGTTTGCAGCCAGAGCCTGGATGGATGGATGGATGGAGGGATGGATGGAGGGATGGATGGATGGATGGATGGATGGATGGATGACCACCATTCCCTGCTGCCACTGGAGACTTGAAAATGTGCACTTAGAAGGTGAGGGCATGTTTTAAATGCTTGTAGAGCAATTATAAGGATATAAAGCTCTTAGAGAGTGTTCAAAGAAATGTCAGGAAGATGGTGAAGGGATGAGGAACAGCTGAGGGCACTCGGTTTGTTCAGCTGGAGAAGAGGAGGAGGAGATCTCAGCATGGCCTGCATCTTCCTCCCGAGGGACAGCTCCAATCTCTGCTCTCTGTGACAGGGACAGCACCTGAGGGAATGGCTGGAGCTGTGTCAGAGGAGGTTTAAATTGGAGATGAGGAAAAGGTTCTTTCTCCAGAGGATGCTGGCACTGCCCAGTCTCCCCAGGGAATGGGCACGGCCCTGAGGCTGCCTTGTTGGGCTGTCCTGGGCAGGGTTGCACTGCAGGATGCTTGTGGATCCCTTCCAATCGAAGATGCCGGAAGCTGCGCTGCGGGAAAACCGAGATAAGATCGGTGAAATGACCAGAAACGGGGAGAAAGGAGCCCACAAAAGCTGCGGGAAGCTGTCCGTCCCTACCCCGCCATCTCGGCGGGATCCGCCGCGCCCTGAGGGGAACCAGTGGCCGGGCCGGGATGGAGCGGCTGAGGGAGGAGAAGCCGCGGGGCCGCGGCGAGGATCCACCTTAAGGGGATCAGGAAGCGCAGCGGGGCCAATCAGACCGGGCAGGGAGGCCGGGAAGGAGGAGCCGAGGGAGGGACCGGGGCAGGGCGAGAGAGCGGGGCCGGCGGGGCGCGATGGCGGAGGGCGGGGACGCGCCCGCCCCGGGCAGGTACCGTGGGCAGGGGGGTGCCGGGGGACAGCGGGGTCGCCGGGCTTTGCCAGCCCTTTCTGACCCGCCGTGTGCCTCTCTCCAGCGCAGGTCGCAACCTGAAGGAGTGGCTGCGGGAGCAGTTCTGCGACCACCCGCTGGAGCACTGCGAGGACACCCGGCTGCACGACGCGGCCTTCGTGGGGGACCTGCCCACGCTGCGCAGCCTGCTGCAGGACGAGAGCTTCCAGAGGTGGGCATGCCTGCCACACACACCTTAAAGAGCATCCAGTGCCACCCTGGGACACCTGCCCCCGTCCCAGGGTGCGCCAAGCCCCGTCCAGCCTGGCCTGGGACACTTCCAGGGATGGGGGTTTCTGTGGGAGAGGTGTCAGGGAGGATGCTGCGCTCGCCGTCCTCACAGCTGCACCCTTTCGGGGCTCCCATCTCAGCCCTTTTTGTTCTGAGAGGCATCGGGGTGTTGTTCCCACAGCCTGCAGCTTTTGGGGGCTCCCATCTCAGCCCTTTTCCTTGTGAGAGGTGTCGGGGTGTTGTTTCCACAGCCTGCACCTTCTGGGGGCTCCCATCCCGCCCGCTGGTTTTGGGGAGAGGTGATTCCTAGGATGCTCTCGCTGTCCCCACAGCCTGCTCCTTTTGGTGACCCCCATCTCATCCAGTTTTTTCCCATAGCATGGTTTGGGCAGGAAGGGACACCATAAGAAAGCTCATCTTATCCCACCCTCTGCCACGGGCAGGGACACCTTCCAATATCCAAGGTTGCTCCAAGCCTGGCCTTGGACAATTCCAGAGATGGGGGTTTTTATGGGAGACGTATCAGGGTGAGAGGATGCTCCCCTTTCCCCCAGGTCATTCCCCTGGTTTCCCAGGAGGCAGATCTCACAGCTGCTCGTGAGGCTGTGGCAGCTGTGCATGAACTCTTTGCAGATTGGGATAGGAATGCGATACCAGGAAAACGGGAGCCTACGGATAATGGGGAAAACATACAAAAGGGATTATAATCGACTATAAACCTGGAACACCCCATGTTACAAAATCTGCCCAGTGCTAACCCTGTGACTGTGGGGATGGTTAATTAATTTTCCTGCATCATGGGGAAATCTGCTTAGAGTGCTAAATGTCTCCCAGCCTCAAAAAAAAAAAAAAAAAAAAAGAAAAACATAGAAGGTGTTATTTCAGCAAAAAATGAGAATGAGCCAGCCCTTCTCTCTGCTACCTGGGCAGCTGGGGCTCTTGGGACCCTTGGGCTGAGGGTTTTTTTGGGGGAAAAAGCAGAGTTTGACAGGAAGAGGAGGGTGGGGCCCACAGCTCCATTCAACAGGTGATGGGGTAAGCAGAGAAGTGATGTCTTTGAATTAGGAGGCAGATATGGACCTGAAAGCTCATCCTGATGCTAACCTGGGACAGGGACACCTTCCACTGGGCCAGGTAGCTCCAAGCCCTGTCCAGCCTGGACTTGGACACTTCCAGGAATGGGGCATGCACAGCTTCTCTGGGCTACCAGTTTGTTACATCTCCCTCTAAAAAGGGTCAGAAGGGAGAGGTTGTTTTGGTTTTTTTTTTATAGGTGATTTTTGAGGCAGGGTTTGTGCAGCCCCTGGCACAACTGAAGCCCACAATCCAAGCACTGCTCTGCTTCACCTGTCCAGGCAGCATCTGTCAGGTGATCGATAGGAGCTTTTTGGGGCTGCTAAAAGTGCCAGAAATCAGGGAATCATATCCTGAGTGGAAGGGACCCACAGGATCACCCAGTCCAACCCCTCTCCCTGCACAGACACCCCAACAACCCCACCCTGAGCATCCCTGAGAGCGCTGTTCAAGCACTTCCAGAGCTCTGGCAGCCGTGGGGCTGTGCCCGTTCCCTGGGGAGCATGGGCAGTGCCCAAGCTCCCAGAGGGCACCCTCCTGGAGGGGATGGGGCTGCCCTGACTGTGTTTTATCCCCTCCCTGGCAGCCGGATCAACGAGAAGTCGGTGTGGTGCTGCGGCTGGCTGCCCTGCACGCCGCTGCGCATCGCCGCCACCGCCGGCCACGGGCCCTGCGTCGACTTCCTGCTGCGCAAGGGGGCCCAGATCGACCTGGTGGACGTCAAGGGGCAGACAGCTCTCTACGTGGCCGTGGTCAACGGGCACCTGGAGTGTGCCAAGATCCTGCTGAAGGCCGGCGCTGACCCCAACGGGAGCCGGCACCACCGCAGCACCCCGGTGTACCACGCGGCGCGGGTGGGGCGCGCCGACATCCTGCAGGAGCTCATCAGGTCAGGGATGGGGCTGTCTCTCCCTTTCCCCCTGCTGCTCCCTTGGGGTGCCTTCCCTCCTCACCTGCTCCCACAGCTTGCAGCTTTTCAGGGCGGCTCCCATCTCTGCAGCCTCCATGCCTCTTGGGCTGGAGAGGAGAGGTGCCCAAAGGGACGTCCTTGGATTTCCCATCATGGGCTGTTTGTGACGGTGTTCACAGGGGTCTTATGTTGAAGGAAGAGAGGGAGATCTGACTCCATGTTTCAGAAGGCTTGATTTATTATTCTATGATATATGTTACATTAAAACTATATTAAAAGAATAGAAGAAAAGGTTTCATCAGAAGGCTAGCTAAGAAAAGAAAGGAATGAATGATAACAAAGGCAGCTGTCTCAGACTCTCTGTCCGAGCCAGCTGGGGTGTGATTGGCCATTAATTATAAACATCCAACATGGGCCAATCACAGATCCACCTGTTGCATTCCACAGCAGCAGATAATCAATGTTTACATTTTGTTCCTGAGGCCTCCCAGCTTCTCAGGAGGAAAAAATCCTTAGGAAAGGATTTTTCATGAAAAGATGTCTGCGACAGCTGTTCCCACCTGTTCCAATCCAAGTCTCCAGTTATGAGCCTGCCATCCAGTCACATCCAAACCTTGCAATCCCCCCCCACTTCCACCACACCACTGACTGGAGTTACAAGGGAGGTGGGTTCCCCAAAAAACTTCTCTGGGTGCTGGGTTTTCCCTCAGGCAGCACCAGCAGGGCTCAAGTTGTAGCAGGAGGCTGTGGGAACTTGAATTGCTCCTTCCGTGGCGTGCCCTGATTATTCCTTCTTTTTAAATGGGAAGATTTCTGTCCAAGGGATTGTTCTGGACAGCTATGTGGGCCACGGATGCCAAACAATAAGGGATCATAATGGGAAAAATGTAGGTTGTAGGGAGAAATAGTGAAAGAGAAGAAAATTGAAGGAATCCCTTTGATGACCTCAAATGCTAGAAAATAACAAAAGGATTTGAATAGGAAAATATTCAAAATCCTTGGGGATTTTCTTCCTTTTTTGAATTTTCATACAAGTACAGCTTGGAGGAAGAAGGGGAGATAATCCCTCCTCCTTGCTCCTTTCCCAACAAGCTGAGAGGAGGATGTTCCCATCAGCACAGGCTTGTTGATACAGGGTTCAACTCACTGCATTCCCAAAAATCTCCCCTGCTCTCTCCACCCAGGCAGGGTGAAATGTAGCAAATGGTATTTCAGCAGCACAGGGAGAGCTGGTGCCTTGATTTATGTGTCTGCTCCTTGGGATAGCTCACCAGCAATATTAAAAGCAAGATTTTGGACAACTTTCAGGATTAAAAATTAACTGGAGTTTTTCCAACCTCTTTTTATTAGGCAATGTCTCTCCCAAGGCTGCTAAGCTAATACCAAATTGTCAGATTGCCCAAAATTTCAAATATCTCAGAGTAGGGGTTTCAGAGATCTGTGCAGAGTTACTTAGTGAAAAATGCAGCCTTTATGTTACAGGGATTTTCAAAATGTTAGATCTACAGGATTTGGCAGGGAGAGTGCAACGAGGAAGACACTTTTCCTGAGATAGGAGGGAATATTTTGAGAGAACCTGAACCCAGTCAGGTGTGCTGCAGGTGTGTAAACATCACCTGGTTTGAAAATCTTGTTGGGATCCCTGAGCATTCCTGCAAGTGCTGAAGCAAGCAAGAGGTGAAATCCCATCCATGAGCAGTAAATCCACACGTGGCTATGGAATGGGGATCGATTTTACTGGGAGGCTGCTGGAAATATTTAGAGTTCTGATGCCAGGGTGTATAAATGGCATTCCTGATAATTTGGGATCATGCTGTGGTGGAATCCACTGCTGCCTGCAGTGGAACTGAGGGTAGCAAGGGGGAGAGGATCCTTTTGCCAGGCTAAAACTGGGAAAAAGCTGCCAAATCACCCCCATCCTTCAGATGCATGCCTGACCCTGCTAAAAGCAGAATTTGGGGGTTTGCTTGGAATTGAGGGCTTCCACTGAGAGTTTTGATGGTAATAATGGGGCAAGAAAGGACTGGAATGGAGGGAGATCTGCTGTCTGCTCAGGAGGCAGCAGCCTTTAAACAGCCCTGTGGAAGTCCCAGAGCAGCACAAATAACTGTCCAAATGCTTGTGTAATCTGATTTTAAAGGGGAAAATACACTTTGTGCAATTTGCAGCTCTTAGAGGAGTCTCTCAGCCCTTGTTCTGGCTGTGCTTAGCCGGAATGAGTCTCTTGCCATGCTCAGAACTGCAGGATTTGGTTAAATATTTGTCAGATGGGGAGCAGTCCTCGTTGGTTTCAGCAAGAACCGTGCCTGCTTTGAGGTAGGATTTGTCCCCAGGTATTTTCCTTAGTTTTATGAACTCCTGAAAGGAATATCTAGGAAAAACCTGGCTCCCTGAGTGCTCAGTTTGCAATTTGGGGAGAGAAACTGGTGGGTGAAGGAACCTTTTCTCCCTCTGTGGGTAGAACAGACCGGGCTTTGGATTCAAACCAACTACTCCTTAGGGATTGTGCTGTTTTCCTCCTCCTTCCCATCCAAGCTGCATGAGAGGTACATGGAATTACTGTCTGAGGGAATCCCCAGTAGATTCCAGCCCCTCCAGCTCCTTTGGGAGCAGGGGTTTGTCAGGGATGTTTCGCTGTGGAGCGCAGGTTCCTGTTTCTATTTCCCTGCTGTTTGGGATCGAGCGCCTGTGTTGCTTTTTTGGCCCGTTTTTGTCCTGGTAGGGAAAGTTATTTCAGCCTCCCTCTTCAGTGGAGTCATCTGGAAACATCCCTGCTCCCCAGGCAGCTCATTAGCATCCAGCATTACGTGGTGCTGGCTCGGGGCTGAGCCATCCCTGGTGCCAAGGCACGAGAGGAGAGAAAATACAGCTAAAAGTTCCTGGGTCGAGATAAGGAATGGGAGAGATAAGAATTAGGGGAGATAGGGAAGGGGAGAGATCACTCACTAAATACCGTCACGGGCAAAACAGACTCAGCTCAGGGGTATCAGTTTAATTTATCCCTAATAAAAACAGAGCAGGGTAATGAGAAGTGGAATCAGTCTTAAAAAACACCTTCCCCCACCCTGTCCCTCCTTCTCAAGGGGAAAGCTTCTTAAAATATCGCTCCTGTACCTTCCCGCCACCAAAACCTGGCCATGCAAACCCAATCCACCAGGAGGGCGAGGATGTTGCTGCTCCTCCTCTCTCCAAATCCTGGGCTGTTGTGGGGAGGGCAACATCTTTGCTTCTGGGATATCACACTGTTGTCCCCACCCAGAAGTGCTGCCAGGCCCATCTGAGGGTAGGGATCACAGAATCACAGAATAATGAGGTTGGAAGAGACCTCCAAGATCATCGAGTCCAACCTGTGCCCTCACACCTCACCTAGACTATAGCACCAAGTGCCGTGTCCAGCCTTTTTTTAAACACATCCAGAGATGATGATTCCACCACCTCCCTGGGAAGAGCATTCCAGCACTTTATTATTATTTTGGTGAAAAATTTTTTCCTAATATCCAACCTGTACCTTCCCTGACGTAGCTTGAGACTGTATCCTCTGGTTCTGTCAGTGCTGCCCTGTGGGAGAGACCAACCCCACCTGTCTGCAACCTTCAGGGAGTTGTAGAGAGCAATAAGGTCATCTCTAAGCCTCCTCTTCTCCTGGCTAAACAGCCCTATCTCCTTCAAACATTCCTCACAGGGTTTGTGTTCCCAGCCCCTCACCAGCCTTGTTGCCCTGCTCTGGATGTGCTCAAGCATCTCGACATCCTTCCCAAACTGAGGGGCCAGAACTGGACACAGCACTCGAGGTGTGCCCTCACCAGTGCTGAGTACAGGGGAGGAATGACCTCCCTGCTCCTGCTGGCCACACAAAATCAGAGCAGGGTAATGAGAAGTGGAATCAGTCTTCAAAACCACCTTCCCTTCTTCTCAAGGGGGAAGCTGACGGTGTTCACAGGGGTCTCAGGCTGAGGGAAGAGATGAGGATTTCACTCCATGTTTCAGAAGGTTTGATTTATTATTTTATGATATATATGACATTAAAACTATACTAAAAGAATAGAAGCAAGCATTTCCTCAGAAGGCTGGCTAAGAATAGAATAAGAAGGAAGGATAACAAAGGCTCTGTCTTGGGCTCTCTGTCCGAGCCAGCTGACTGTGATTGACCATTAATTAGAAACAACCAACATTGGGCAATCTCAGATCCACCTGTTGCATTCCACAGCAGCAGATAACCATTGTTTACATTTTGTTCCTGAGGCCTCTCAGCTTCTCAGGAGGAAAGATCCTTAGGAAAGGATTTTTCATAAAAGATGTCTGCGACAGGAAGCTTCTGAAAATACCATCCCTCTACCCTCCCACTGGCCATGCAAACCCGAACAATCCACCAGGAGGGCAAGGAGCCATTGGCCTTCTTGGCCACCAAGACACATTGTCGCAGACATCTTTTCACGTAAAGTCCTTCCCTTAGGATTTTTTGTTCCTGAGAAGCTGAGAGGCCTCAGGGACAAAATGTAAACAATGGTTATCTGCTGGTATGGAATGCAACAGGTAGATTTTTTGATTAGCCCATCTTGGATGTTTATAATTAATGGCGAATCAAGGCCCAGCTGTCTCCGAGTCCAAGACAGCTGCCTTTTGTTATCATTCTTTTTTTTTCTATTCTTAGCTTAGCTAGCCTTCTGAGAACCTTTTCTTCTATTCTTTTAGTGTAGTTTTAATGTAATATCTATCTATAAATTAATAAATCAAGCCTTCTGAAACATGGAGTCAGATCCTCGTCTCTTCCCTCATCCTAAGGCCCCGGTGACCACCGTCACAGCACAATGCTGGTTCATATTCAACCAGCTGTCAATCAGCACCCATAGGTCCCTTTCCAAAAGAGATGGGCAGATTCCAGAGGTTCTCTCTCCGTGTCCCTCAGCCTCTTTCCCTTGCCATTCCCAACCTTCCCTCCCTTTCCCTGGCGCAGGTACGGCGCGGACGTGGACGTGAACCACCAGCCGGCGTCGCGCGGGCCGGGGCAGGCGCTGCGGCCGCTGACCACGCTGGTGGTGTGTCCCCTGTACATCAGCGCTGCCTACCACAACCTGCCCTGCTTCCGCCTGCTGCTCCAGGCGGGAGCCGACCCGGATTTCAACTGCTGCGGGCCCATCAACGTGCAGGGCTTCTCGCGGGGCTCGCCCGTGTGCGTGCTGGACGCCGTACTGCGGCACGGCTGCGAGCCCGCCTTCGTGCGCCTGCTCGTCGACTTCGGCGCCGATCTCAACCTCGTCAAGGTGGAGGCCCTGGGGCTCGAGGCCACAGGCAGGGTCAAGGTGAACGCCGAGGCGCTGGAGGTGTTCAAAGAGGCGAGGGGTGAGTGGGGTTGGGGTGCCCAGAGCGGTGGTGTGGGTGTGGGAGAGTGCTTTGGAGGGGTTGTTTGAGCTGTGTTGGTGTCCTCACTTCAAGTTGTCACTTCCCCCACTTCAGTGGGGTCTAACAAGCTGACAAACAAAGCATTAATGACTTCTCCTCTCCCTCCTTTTCCCCTGTTGCATTTTGTACCTTTTTTCCTTATTTTCCCTTCTTGAGGCCTCCAGCAGCCCGACCTCTGTTACTCTGCTTTTTTCATCTCTCCCAGCTCTCTTGCATTGCCTTTTCCTATCTGAGCTGGGTTTTGGAGCTGTGGATCACCAGCTCTCCAGAGCCACACAGGTGTGTCCCAGGTGTTCCTGTGTGGCCCTGGGCTCTGGATCCAGGAGGGAGTTTGATCTGGACAGACTAGTTGGGAAGGAAAGGCACAAACAGTGGTAAAAAGGGGCAGGAGGAAGCTCAGATGGAGATGAAAAAAGACAGGGAAAAGTGCAGCACCTTGGAAACCCACCTGGTGAAGGCCACAGCTTGGCACCAGGGGTGCAAGTGGGGTTTCCCTCTTGAACTCCAGAGAAATTTCAAAGGGATTCAGGCTGTGGGATACAACTCACATCCCCAGGTTACTCAGCTTTACATGGGCCTGGTTTTCAAACCTGCCTGGGATTCTGAGGAGGGAGGCTCACATAAGCTGGAGTTCCATTAGGCCTGGGTTTAGGAGGCAAATGGGGTTCCTCAGGTGAAGCATATGGGATAATGGAGTGATGCCATGGAGGTCCAGTTCCTGAGTCGACATGGGCACCACCATGTTGATTCAGGAACATGTTGATTCACACCATCCCTGTGCTGAAAGAGCTCTCCATGGACTCAAAGGAAGCCCTCAGAAGAAAGTTGGGATAAGGACTGAGCTGGCCGTCAGTGCTGTTGACATAATTTTAAAATGATCCAAATAGAACGGTGGAGTTGGAAGGGATCCACAGGGATCATCCAGCCCAACCGCTGGCCCTTCACAGACCCCCCAACAATCCCACCCTGAGAGCATTGTCCAAACCCTCCTGGAGCTCTTGGGGCTGTGCCCATTCCCTGGGGAGCCTGGTCATTGCCCAGCTCCCTCTGGGGGAAGAACCTTTTCCTAAAACCCAACCTAAACCCCCCTGGCACAACTCCAGCTGCTCCCTCAGGTCCTGCTGTGATGGCCTCCGTGGTCTCCAGCCCTTCCAGCCTGCCCATGCAGTTGGAAATTGCTCCAAACCCAGGAGGTTTGACCTCCTCACAGGGCAGGATTTGTGCTCACTCAGCTCTCCCTCCCTGCCTCTGTGTTGCTGCTCTCCCTCTCTGTTTCCCCAGTAATGCTTCCCTGTGTTTTTCCTTGCAGGCCGCGCCCGGAGCCTCTTGTCCCTGTGCCGCATAGCAGTGCGGAGAATCCTTGGCAAATCCCGCCTGGATCTGATCCACAGCCTTCCCATCCCTGACCCCATTAAACAATTTTTACTCCATGAAAACAGTTAAGGGGCGGCTGGCTGCTTTTGGGGACAGTGTGACTTGGTAAATGAGTGCCCTGACAGAGCCAGGTGCCAACCCTGCCTCTTTTTCCTTCATGGAGTGCACATAATTCCCTGCTCCTGTGGATTGTTTTTTCTCCTCCAGATTTAGGGTGCAGTGATTCAGTGTCTTATCTCCTTGGGGAGAGGCTGCTAAACGTGTGTGGGTGTTGCTGGAGCAAATACAATATATCCTGTAGCTGTTGGCAAATGTGTAACCTCTGTTACTGATCTGTGTCACACACACACACACACACCCCCCTGGGGTCTCTGTGGCATTTCTGTGTGGGGAAAGTGTCCCTACTTTACTCTTTTTCCCATCAAACCAGAAGTTCCTACCTACATTTTACTCCATATCCCATGGTAAGAGCAGAGAAAACCCACCCAGATCCACGTAATGGGTCTGTTTTGTTTGCATCGTGGAAAAGGGAGAAAAAAGGGGGTTTTTTTGAGGAGCTGGGAGATTTTGTGCTTCTAATCACAGTGTAGCATCCAGCAGCCTGGGCTCCTTTCACTTCCAGCGCCTCTTCATGCCACAAACTCCCACAAGAGTCAATTCTGCAGGGATTCAGCAGCCTTTTGTTGGGGTCTCAGGATCAGCCAGTGATGTGCTCAGTGCAGAGGAATCCTTGTCAAAACAGCAGCTTTAGAAGGATAGAGATGATGATGCCTTAGGATCTTGGGAAAAATCTCAGGTGATAATTGGTACTTGCTTTAACTTTTCTGATTCAAGTAAAGTCACTGTGTTATAAGTTAATATTTTTTTGGATGATTTTTCTTTGCTAGCTCTTCTCCCCACACTCATCCAGCTGGCAAAGGTAATTTTCCACATGTGACCTTAAAGATCAGAGAATCCCAGCTTGGTTTGGGTTGGAAGGGACCTTAAAGCTCACCTAGGTCATGGGCAGGGACAGCTTCCACTATCCTGGGTTGCTCCAAGCCCTGTCCCTGGACCCTATGGGGCCTCAGTGTTGGTTCCAAAATGTTCTTTTCCCAGAGGCATAAATAAATGGAAAATCTAGCCAAAGCAGAGGATGTTTCCAGACCTTCTCCAGGTGAGGTGCAGTGGATGTGGAGCTGTGGGCAGGTGAGGAGGGGCAGTTCTGCACCGTTCCCTTCCCAGGCCTGCAGCTGGTTTTGGTTTTCCCGTCGCTGGCAGCGAGTTGTGCACTGGCTTTATAGAGGTGTGAACATGCCTGGGCGATGCAAACAGGTTGTAAAGCCTCTTGGCACCTGGCTGGGGGATCCATAATGGTTTGCAGGAGCTCACTGCGCTCCTGAGCTCCTGTGTGGGGAGGCAGAAAATGAGATGGGCTGGCTTGAGACAGTGCCACGGGAACAGCTTTTGGGGTTTGGCTTTTCCCTGAGGATTTTTAGTTGGTTTGTAAATGGGGTGGAGGTGGTAGGATGGATGTGGGGAGAGCTGGAAGGACCCACAAGGATCATCCAGTCCAGCTCCTGGCCCTGCACAGAGAGCCCAGCAATCCCACCCTGTGCACCCCTGAGGGCATTGTCCAAATGCTCCTGGAGCCTGGGACCATTCCCTGTTCCTGTGCTCAGCCCCCTCTGGATGGTGAATCCACCTGGGATGAGCTGCAGTGAATGAGCTGATATTCCTCAGTGGGAATGTCAGAGGATGGACTCAACTCAGTGCTTGATGTAAGTCTGGTGTGTAATTAAAGCTGAGCCTGTTGCAATGTTAATTAGAGATCCCACCCAAAGGATTGCCCTGAGCATGGATCTCTCCAGGTCTAAGGATGGTTCTCCCAGCCCAGCAGCAATCCACCCTGAGGTTCATCAGTGGCTTGGAGATGTGCAGAATCAAGGCTTTGGAGTGCCTGGATCATTCACCCAACTTCCATCTTCACTGAGGGACTTTGCCTCCGGAAATGGCCAAACCTTTGGCTTGAGGGCCTGGAATGAGTCCAACCTGGGCACAACTCACATGAAGTTAAGCTGTAAGTGCACAGGATTCTGTTGGAATGAAGTCCCTGTGGAGATTGGTTGCTGTGGCTACTTAAACCCAGCTTTGCTGAGCTGGTTTGATACACAGAGAATTTGGAATTTTCACTATAGAGAGATAATAATCTTGAAATAGATTCAGGATATTCATAGACTTCATTGTCGTGTCCTATAGGGCAAAACCCTGCATCCTGTGCCTTACCCTGTCCTTTTAAACCCAGAGAACAATAGTCTTGCAGTATGAAATCTCAATAATTGATGCCTTTCTATCCTTTCACACTATATAAACTGCATTTCTTTTTGCCTTTGCTTGGACTTCAGCATTCCCTCCTATGCAGCAAAGCAATCCATTTTGTACAGGTGTTTTTTCCCATGTTGCCCATGGGACATGCTCAGATAATGTGTGTAAAAATTGAGTTTTGTGAAGCTGTGGGGTGGCAAATTAAACATTCCTGCAGTGTACATCCCATCCATTGAAAAATGCCCATTATATTTGTGCAGTATTTATAAAGTGTGTGTGACCTGGCCTTGCTGGAAGCTTGAATGAGCCAGGATAAGAAGATTTGGCAAATGCTTGAAGAACCAAACCAGGTCTGGAATCATCCAAGCTGCTCCAAAGCTGTCCTTTCACATTGACTTTCTTGTTTTTGTTGCTAGTGGAGAATTTCCAGGGCATGGGATGCTGGTAGCTGGGATGCAAATATAATTTCCTGCTCATTTTGCAAAGGGTGGGGGAAAGGCATCTGTTGGGTTGAAGTGGTTTTTTGGTTGGTTTTGGAGCTTCGTTTGTTTGTGTGTTTCTTGTTCTTCAATCCCTGGAGTCAAGTAAAGCCCTTTTTACCCCAACCTGAGTTACAGCACCTTTTTAGCCCTTCCTCTTCCAGCGAAGGAAACTGTGGCAGGACACCCCGAGGGGACAAAATGCCACTTCCAGAAGTGCCCAGCGGCGCCTGCTGGCTTTTCCCAGGGTCAGAATGTTTTGGGATCAGACCTGCGGGCAGGTGGATCCACCTGCAGCCCGAAAAAGGAGCAGGATGGCTCTGGATTTGGGAAAGGCTGGATCCTGCCGGCCTCTCCCTGTGCTGTAGCCACTGGAGGGGGCCGGAGAACCGCGGTCCCTGCCTGGGGGTTACAGGGACAGCGCCGCTGCCACCTCCTGCCTTGCCCCTCCTGGGGGATCTTCAGGCCATCCTGAATCTTTTCCACCTTCACACCGGGCTGAAGAGGGCTTTTTAAACCTCTCATTCCTGCCCCTGCTCCCTTGGTCGCTCTGGAAATGCAGCTCCTCGGTTTGGCATGCAAGTAGATGTAATTCCTCAAAATATTTTTTTAGATTTTGTTATTTCATGGCGTTTTCGCTGAAAAACTCCCTGCAAGCTTGAGCAGCAAGAGTTTCTGCTGGTTGCTGTGTTTTTGCTGAGGATTAGCATGTGTACCTGAGGATTTAGTCCATGCAGCTGCCTCCAGGCAAGGGCACACTCCCTTTTTTAGGATTCCTGCTTTTTTCACTCAGGAGATGTTTGTCTGATCTGCTGCCAGTGTTTCCTCTGAAGGCAGAACCAGAGTTTTTCCTGAATTGGAAGAAAAGGATCAAATGATGTGGAGTTATGGTGATGAAAAACAAAGCCAAACAAGCCTTAATCTTAAATTTTAACACTTCCAGCCTCGATATTATCCTAATTTGGAGTGTCTCCCTCCTAGCTCTTCATGCATCTCCCCCCAGGCCACCCCAAGTTGGTACCCACAGTTCAGTGACATCATTTCTGTGCTGCAGCTTGGAACTGGAGATTTATCCTCAAACAGGAGAGATCTGTGTGTCTGAGCTGCCAGTTTGGGGACAATAAATGTGGAATTGTTCAAAGGAATTGAATGTTATGTACTTGTGCCTCTCAGGACAGACAAGCTGTGATTTCTGGTCCCCTCTCACTGAATTTCCTGTGTGACAGACTCACCTGAGAGCCTGCCCTTGCTTTTATAATAGCATTGCAACATGTTCCTTATTACTCACGCTCGTTAATCTCATTCTAAGATCTGCAGCAGCGAGGAAAATATTTCTTCTTGCACTGTGTGATGCCCAAATATTCACTCTGGGCTATGAGAGCTGACCAAATCTCTGGCAGTCTCAAAGTATTTTCTCTAGGATCTGTTGTTCCCACTCCCCAGGCGCTGCTGGGGAAGCCCCAAGTTATTTTACTTTTCATTGCTATTGTTCTCCATCAGCTCCTCCAGCCTTCTCTTCCTTCCCAGAAGAGCTCTTTGTGACCCCTGCAACTTGCAACCACGAAGAAAAAGAAAGAAAAGCATTGTGAAAGAGAAGGAAAAAGTTCTTGTTGCCCCAGGATCCCTGGAAGCGTCCAAGGCCAGGCTGGACAGGGCTTGGAGCAGCCTGGGATAGTGGAAGTTGTCCCTGCCCGTGGCAGGGGATGGAATGGGATGGGCTTTAACATCCCTTCCAGTCCAAACTTTCTGGGATTTCATGGAGAGGGCAGTGGCTGCCCAAGCCCTCCCCAGCCCTGCGCAGTGACAGGAGAGCTGCAGCCCCCACAGAGCTCATCCAGCACCTTTCCCATTCCCCCACCTGCATCCAGCACCTTTCCCATTCTTCTCTCTGCATCCAGCACCTTTCCCATTCCCCCACCTGCATCCAGCACCTTTCCCATTCTCCCACCTGCATCCAGCACCTTTCCCATTTCCCCACTGTTATCCAGCACCTTTCCCATCCCCCCACCTGCATCCAGCACCTTCCCCATTCTTCCCTCTGCATCCAGCAGCTTTCCCATTCTCTCTGCATCCAGCACCTTTCCCATTCTCCCACCTGCATCCAGCACCTTCCCCATTCCCCCAACTGGAATCCAGCACCTTTCCCATTCCCCCACCTGCATCCAGCACCTTTCCCATTCTCCCACCTGCATCCAGCAACTTCCCCATTCCCCCAAGTGGAATCCAGCACCTTTCCCATTCCCCCACCTGCATCCAGCACCTTTCCCATTTTTCCCTCTGCATCTCTCACTTCTCCTCTCCCCAGCCCACATGCCCTGCTCTGTTTTCCACCTCTTTTCACATGTTTTGCTGCTCCCATTGTTGGTGCCTGCCAGAGGGCTGCAGTGTGCTGTTGTTTGCAGGAAAGTGCTCTTTGTTTCCCCGGGCTGCAGCATCTGGTGTTTGTGAGAGGCACGGTGCAGCTTTCCAGCAGAAACTCAGCCAGCCCCAGCCTGCCTGGCCAGGAGTCCATGTGTGCCACCACGGCCTTGCTCCTAAAAGGGCTCTGAAAACCCCAAAGTGAGACAAGCCAGGCTCGGAGCGGCCTCGTGGAAGGTGTGGAACAGGATGGGTTTTTAGATCTTTTCCATTCCAAAGCGCTCTGTGATTCCACGATCCAGCACGGAGAGATAAATGAAGGCAGGATGGGCAGGATGGAGCAGCAGAGCTTTGTTGATTTATGGCTCCAGCCATCCCCCTCCCCTCAAGGCATCAGGATGATGGACGAGCCGTGCACGCTCCCCTCCCCGTGGCACAGGCTGTCCATGAGCTTTCCAAACATACCAGGGTGAGGTGATGCTCGCAGACACGGCATTCCCGCTGATGGCGCCTTTCCACAATCAGCTGAAAGCTGCTCGGGGAATTTGGGAAGCTGGGCTCCAGCCATGATCTGCTTGGCCAACCCTGCACTTGCCTTTCATTTTAATAATTTGGCGACATCCATTTATTTTAACGTTTCGCAAAAGCGGGGCCTGCGTTTCCTCAGAGAAAATGAGAGTTGAAGGATGGTAAAATGCCTCCATAAATTGAAAGTTAAATTAAGGAACAGCTTTTAGAGCACTGAGTGCTGTTAGCTCCACTGTTGTGGTGTCACTCACAGCATTGTGAGCCTGTGGTACCCATTGGAGGCACAGGAGATTTAGGAGGCACATGGAGTGGGATAGATTGTTTGGTGAGTGCTTCTGAGCCTGCTTTTGTTTGCAGTTGGGATGTTTTCATGGGTTCACCCCTTGTTTCACTGCCCACACGATGCAGTTTTTACCAAAAATTTCTTTGTTTGGGGGATAATTTTAGCTATTGAACATTTTATATCAGTGTGGGAACAGCTTCTGAAATTTTTATCCTTTTGATCTTATCTTTACACAAGGAGTGTTTACAGGGACCTGGAGTGCCAGGACAGGGGGGAATGGCTTCCCACTGCCAGAGGGCAGGGATAGGTGGGATATTGGGAAGGAATTCTTCCCTGTGAGGCTGGGGAGGCCCTGAGGTTGCTCAGAGAAGCTGTGGCTGCCCCTGGATCCCTGGAAGTGTACAAGGGCAGGCTGGACAGGGCTTGGAGCACCCTGGCATAGTGCAAGGTGCCTGCGTCTCCTGCACAATCACCTTCAGGACCACCT